TTAGTAAACCCACCAGTATTAAAGTACCCAGATTTCCATAAAAAGTTTAAAATTTCCACCGACGCAAGTAATCATGCTATCGGAGCCGTTTTAATCCAAGATAATCATTCAGTCAGTTTCGCTAGTAGAACACTGAATGAACATGAAAAAAGATATGCCACCATAAAAAAAGAACTCCTAACAATAGTTTGGGCAGTAAATTACTTTAGGCCTTTCGTTTATGGCAGGAAATTCGAATTGGAAACAGATCATCAACCGTTGGTTTGGCTTAAGACCAAATACAATGGCAAGGACATAAATCCGAGTCTCCAGAGATGGTTTTTAAAATTGGGCGAATATGACTTTAATATAAGTTATGTCAAAGGAAAACAAAATAAAGTAGCAGAATAGACGTAAATACTGGTGAAATCAATGCAATATCTGATGACACAACTCATAGCAATACCAATCAGGGTCCCTCAATAGAAGAAGACAACATTAGTACTAATGACACTATACATTCGCAAGTGGAGGAGCAAAAAGACCATTTCCCCATCCTAGACACAGTAGTAAATCGTTTCCACACACAAATAATACTTATGCAACACAAACGTCAGAAAATAAAAATCATAAATTTAAAACGCAAAATTTTCTTAAATCAGGAAGATATAGATGGAAATAAAATGGCAGATATATTTAGAAGATTCCTAAAAAACGGAAAAGTAGGCATTTTTTCAAAATTACCAGACAGCGAATACAACTAGGTTCAGCAGAAATTACTAGAACTCTTCCAGCAAGCATAAAATTTTACAAATGTTCGTATCACGCTTTAGACTTAGAAACCGAACAAGAAACCTATAAGTGGATAGCGAACTTCCACAAAAAGGAAACAGGACACGCCGGAATAGTAGAAAACTATGAAGGGCTGAAGTGAGCAATATACTATAAGGATCTGAAGAAACTAATTCAAAAATTTATTAACAATTGTGACATATGTAGTAGGGCAAAATATGACAGAAGGCCGATTAAACCAAAATTTAAGTATACTTGTACAGAGCCAAGTGAATGCCATCAGATAGTTCACGTAGACATTTATATTAACAAAAAACACAGTTTCTTAACGTTCATTGACAAATTTTCTAAACACGCTGTAATACTGTACTTGGATGATCGAAATCATATCACCATAATAGAAAAACTACTGCTGTATTTTTCACTAAAAGGAAAGCCAAGAAAGTTTATAATGGACAACGAATTCAACTCAGTAAACATTAAAGATTTTTTAAACGAACAATCAATCGAGGTACACTATACAAAACCAAATAGCCATACAGGGAATGCCGACATTGAAAGGTTTCCAGTTCTTTAGGCGAAAAGATGAGAATTTTAGAAATAGAAGAACCCAGACTGACAACTCAAGAGAAAATGTACAAAAGCTTAGAATGGTACAACAACTCCTTTCACTCAACTATAAAATGCAAACCAACCGAGGTTATAGATGGAAAAGTAAGCAAAGAAAAAGTTCAAACACAAAAAAACTTATAATTGATAATAGAAATAAAAAAGAGAAGATTACAATCGAACAGATGAAGAAGGATATGTTAAGAACTACAGAGCACTTAGGCATAAAAATGAACCCAAATATAGGAAGCTACACTTAGACAATATACACCCAGCAAATATAAAAAGATCAACTAAATTTTCAGGTACTCTGGACATTAATGCTTTTCACACTAATAACACCACTACAGACAATTAAGGCTACACTCATCGTGCTAAAAATCGAAAGCAACGAAGGCTACACAGAAATCTTTTTGGAAAACATAAATTTAATTCATAATTACAGCACAATATTACACATCATAGACCTATCCGAAATAAAAAATATTATAAACACTTTGGAATAAAACATTGACAACAATTTTAACACATAACGAAAACTACGACTACCTGTATAATGAACTGAACACACTTATTTACAAAATGCAAACACTCGTAACACATAGAAACAAAAGAGGACTGTCAATATAGTAGGAACAGGAATGAAATGGTTATATGGCACAATGGATGACCAGGACAGAACGGAAATAGAGGAACATCTTAAAGTAATAGACGAGAACAATCATAGAGCCATTTCTAACTTAAATAGAAATATAGAAATAAACAACTTTTAATGAAAAAAAAATTAAACCTAGTATAAACGGACTAGGCGTAGAAAATAGACGCTTGTAGAAACAACTCATTTATTTCGATTTATTGTTAAAAGTAAGAATCTTAAAAGACAAAATTGATCAATTGCAAAATAATATTGCCGTTTTTAGGCTCAATATAATGAATGAAAATATTTTAACAAAAGAAGAAATCATAAAATACGATATAAACATGTTTAAATTACAAAATATAAAGTTATACTCAGCACAGTATAAAAATAGTAAAATAATTTTTATTATTCAAATACCTAATGAAATTATAAATGTTAGAAAACCGATGTTTTCACCACTTATTAATAATATATCACAAGAGTTAATGTTCAGTACAGAAGAAGTTGTAAAAATAAATAATACATATTATTCATTTCAAGAAAATATAAATGTAAAGAAACTAAAAGAATCAAACCTGTGTATCCTAAGAAACAATTGTGAAAGTATAAGAAATAATAAAACAGAGTTAATTGCAATAAAAGACGGATTATTGTTATTAAAAAACAAGTATGGAAGGGCTAAGTTCGGATGTAACCGAACATTTTATACTCTCGCAAAGTCAAATGGTATACTCGTTTGAGATTTCTTTGTGGATTGACTGATATTTTCGGTAGAAGGTCAACTATAAGCACTGGGGTCCACATATTTAGTACTTAGGGGCTTTTGGTTCGATTTAGACAATTTTTGGTCACAAGTTTTATAATACCTACTAATTTCAAAGTTAATATCGTTAAAACCAAACTGACATTCGAAGAATTAATGGTGCAACAAATTGAAAATATTAATAAAATAAAAGAATTGGAATATCACAGAAATACACATAAGCCAATAATTTGGACAACATTCGCTACTACTAACATTATATAATTTTTGCCGTAATAATTTACTTCTACATTTTTAAAAATCGTAAAGTTTCAGACATTAAAATACTTTGGAAACTCAGGGGAGGGGGCAAGCTACAAGTTTGTTGGAGCCAATGACCCAATTGCACCAATAATTCCGATTTCGTCAAAATGACTACAATGCATTTTTAGCAACGTAAACACAAAGTGTCAGCAACCCGTATTTCCTTATTTTAGAATATAAGCGAATTATTGTAATAACACAATGGAAGAATGTAAAATAAAGTATAACCATCAACAACAAACGAATAGTTGTTTTTTTTTTTGCTTTTTGGTTCAACACACCTCGTATACATATATATTATATTTTATTCAAGGAAACTGGAAACAAGAAAAATCGTTAACTTCGGTATCCTTTACAAATGTATTATTTATAACAAAAAACAGACCTCTATTCAAATTTTGATCGGTCAGTTTTAATGGATGATATATGCTATAGTTGTCCGATCTGAACACTATATTGTAGCGATGCCTTAGATAATAAGCTTTGTAAAATTTCGTGAAGATATCTTTTCGAATAAAAAAGTAAAAAGTGTTCCAGTCAAGGACCTGAGTTTGATCGTTCAGTTTGAATGGCAGCAATATGCCATAGTTGTCCGATATCGGCGATTCCGACAAATGAGCAGCTTTTTGATTTGAAAAAGCGTGTGAAAAATTTCAGATCGACATCTCAAAAACTGAAGGACTAGTTCGTGTTTATACAGACCGACAGATGAACATGGCTTAATCGACTCAGCTCATAACGCTAATTATTTATAAGGTGCGTGACAAAATGATAAGGTCACTTCGAAGTTAGTACAATATAAGCAAATGGAAATTCCTTGAAAATGGTAACCAAATTACAAAAATTCTATAAATAAATGAGAGACAAAAGATCGCTTTGAGACGTGGAAAGATACCGTTAGATTAACCAAAAAGTGCGTTTATTTAAAGAAGTGCACAATATATTGCGACAAAATGATTAGGTCGGTAATTTTGGTAACGAAATTTTTATTTCAATTGTAACATTTTTAAGTTATTAATTTATTCAATTTCCATTATTTTCAATTGTTTTATAAACTTTGTTGGCCATGGAAATTATAAGGTTTTACATTAATTAATCCGTACTGTTTATTTTCGGCATACACCTGGATGCTACCAGCAGCCTCCATAACATTCATATAGGGAGAACGTGTTGGCCAATCAAGAAATTCAATATTGTGGTCCTCAAACCACTGCCTTGTGGATTCACTTTCATGAATTGCTGCGTTATCTAGTTCAAAAATGAAATTTTTGTCGTAGTTTTTCAGCACGATCCCTGTTCAGGATATAAAAATACTGTATGTTATGTTAATTGATGCAAAAAATTTAAGGGAAAACAAAAATTCGTACTCACAAAAGTAATTTGGATTTGTCTTAGTATACCTGTTACCTGTGTATTTATTCATTATTAAATAATATGTATTACCAGTATAGTAAAAAAGGTATGTAAATCGGGTTTTTGTTCCAAAACGACAAAACCATTATATTATATTAAAATGTGGGTTTCTTTCTATAAAAAATCTGCCAATCCTTCTCTAAGGTCCTGAAACAATAAATTTAAAAAAAAGTTCTAACATAACAGTTTTGTTCGAAAAATAAACGCTTATCGAAGTTGCTAGAATTTATATGAGAATGCTGAAGGCTGATTATACTAATAACATAGACCTACAAAATTTAAAAATTTTCTGTGTATATATGTAAAATTTAAAAATTTATATCTATATAACAGTAATATAAAAAATTGTTTGTGTATTCAATCGCATTAATATTTTGGTTTTAGTGGAGCATTAGTAAACAATAAATTATTTAATATAATTGAAACCCGTTTTGTATTGTATGATTAACTGCTATTGAATTGGACGTATTGAAAAGACACGTAATGAAGGAAACGCATTAATACGAAACCGCTAGTTAGGACAATACCTTGCGGACATGGTGCTCTGTAATTATTTTTTGCATATTTTTTCTCTAACAATTCACTACAATTGTTGTCACTATAAAGTAATGTTGTTTCTTAACAATAACATAATTGCATGTAATGTTATAATTTAAAATTATGCTCCTACAGACTTTTTAGGGTTCATCATCAATTAAAATAGATCAGCATCAATGTTTCTTCAGGATGCCTTACCAGATCATTATTCATTTATCATATATGTACTCAAGCACATGTAGGTTAGGTTATTCGCGCGAATTTTAATAGGTTCTGCAGCCTCACTATCGATTCCTCTTTCAGTGTCTCATGAGATGCTCCATTGTTTCCCAGGTGCCTTGCTCTTGACATTTCCTGCAGTCCCCATTCAGCCCCATTTTGCAGGCGTGTCCCACCACCAGACTGTGACCAGTGAGTATTCCAATCATGTTTCTACAGTCTCTTCTATTAAGAGTGATTAGGAACTTTAGGTATTTTTAATCTACTGCTTTGCACGTGAATATAGGTCATTCCATCGAATTTTAACTTTCCTTGCCATGCTCTTGTCCAGATCGTCGTATTACCAATAATAATAATCTAATAGTAAAGTCCTCTCTTTGAAATATACTGCAGTGATCCAGCAGCTTAAAAGGCAGCTATATACCTTACTCTGGGCAGTATATCCTCGCACCAACTCCGTACATGTAACATTAACAAAAAATATACATATGGTAATATGGAACTAATTTTTTCTCAAAATAAATAAAATGTAAAGCAATAAAGTGATGAATCAGGGAGCCCTCACTCTATAACTTCCTCGTGCTCCGTGTTACTCTCTACGACCCTAGGTATATATAAAATATAATATTATTATAATAACCTATGTATTTAAGGTTAGTCTGACCAGTAGACCAGTTTCGGTCCTTAATAGTTGAAAATAATATTTACAAATATAGACGAAAACGTTATTGGGGTAAAGGAATAAAATATATTGAACTCGAAGTTTTTCCGGAGGCTTCTTTTTTAAAAACAATCAATATAACAATATACATATAGTATATCCGGCCAAGCGTTGCTATGGCTATGCTATATTTACATTTAACTACTACTTAACATATACGAGTATAATAAACTACAATGAATATATTAGGTCAAGTAAAAAGTTTTTTTTCGTTCGGTTTTTATATTAGAGATGGCTTTATTGTCCATAGTACTACTGTTACGTGTCGCATCATGTCATACTATACGGCGCTGAAAACGTGTTTATTCGCACTAAAAGTTTGTCTTTGCCAGTTTTTCGATTGATTGAGTCAGTACGTTGTGAGCGCTCTTCAAAGATGTACACCAGCAAAGAGAAAATTCGCTATATTTTAAAATTATTCTTCGATCAAGGCAAAAAAGCAGCGAAAGCGGCTGAAAAAAATTAATTTAGTTTATGGGCCCGATACTGTAAACGAACGTGTAGCACAAAAGTGGTTTGCTAGGTTCCGTTCCGGTAATTTCGATGTCAAAGATGCACCACGCGTCGGGAGGCCTGTCGTCGAAAATTGCCATAATATCATGGAAATAGTGAAAACACATCGACCCGTTTCTGAGGCGGATTGTGACTGGCGATGAAAAACGGGTCAATTACGACATTCGAGCGCAAACGGTCGTGGTCAAAGCTCGGGGAAGCGGCCTAGACGGTGGCCAAGACCGGATTGACGGCCAGGAAGGTTTTGCTGTGTGTTTTTTGGGATTGGCAAGGAATCATCTACTGCGAGCTGCTCCCCTATAGCCAAACGCTCAATTCGGCCCTCTACTGCCAACAACTGGACCGCTTGAAGGCCGCACTCATCCAGAAGAGGCCATCTTTGATCAACAGAGGCCGAATTGTGTTCCATCAGGACAACGCCAGGCCACACACGTTTTTGGTGACGCGCCAGAAGCTCCTGGAGCTCGGATGGGATGTCCTAATGCACCCACCTTATAGTCCAGACCTGGCACCAAGTGATTACCATCTTTTCCTGTCCATAGCGAACGCGCTTAATGGTGAGAAGTTGGCCTCAAGAGAGGCCTGTGAAGATTAGCTCTCCGAGTTTTTTGCCAATAGAGACGCAGTCTTCTACGAGAGGGGTATAATGAAGTTGGCATCTAGTTGGCAACAAGTTTACGAACAAAACGGCGCATATTTGACTTAAATCGGACAAATGTACATAAATTTATCATCTTTTGAAAAATCAATAAAAAACCGAATGAACTTTTTACTTAACCAATATTAATTACGAAGAAAAGCGAAAACATATTGCCGGGTATGTAATTCCAAAGGATTGTACTTGAGGTTTAATTTTAAAAATTATTTACAATATACAAATATTTGTCATTAGAAAAAATATATCTTTTAAGTTGGATTAAACTGGACAGAGTGTGCTAAATTTTACTAAACACGATTCAGTAATTTAGGAGCTCACCTCGGAGAAAACTCTAGTTTTCATTTAAAATATTAAACGAGTTTAGTGAACTATTTGTATTACTTGTCTGCAATACATAAATCGCATTCAAATACTTTTAGATATTTTTTTATAATTATGGAATTATGAATTACGAATCCTACACAAAATATGTAATGACAATGTTTGCGGTTGAGATCAAAAATGAGTACTCGCATCAACAACAAACAAAATAAAGAAAACGAGAAAATAAATAAATGATATTGTGTAGTTCCATTCAAAGGTGAACTATTTCGCCAATACAAACCGGCTAAGCTGCCATGTCGGTGCACATATGTATCAATGCGCATCGGGTCGCATGTTCGGAAGGTGCGCTTCGCTAATGTGCAAAAACGATGCGCGAGTTTTTCAAGTCCATTCAGCAGTAATCGAATGTATTGACCCCCGGCGGCTGGCACATCAATTGCGCTCCTAATCCGAGTGGTGAGAGGATGTTTGCCGCTACGTACAATAGCTGCATTTAACCCTTTTGTACCCGGGGCCACATGCATCGATCGCTGCGCCTTGTTCAGTTCGATGCAGTCAATCAGCTAGTTTATTTGTTTGTGCCGCATTCGTTTGATTTCATTGTTTGCTTATAGAAATTGTTGTAGGGTTTGTGAAAATTGCGACGAAGATAGATGTGATATACTTGCACATATGTGTGTGTCATCCGATTTACTCGTTATCCTTTTAGGTTGCATTATCCGTTAATTTGGATGAATTGTTTGACATTCACATTCTGTACTTATGCCGCAAGCAAGCGATTTTTTGCTATTGATATATTTTCGCTGATGAGAAATGCACCTATGAAATTGATAAAACACATTTTTGAAAACACTAAACTCACACATTGGAATGTTTTTGAACAAAAAAGACTTCTATTCTAGTATTCTTAAACGAATGCCTGCAGGAGTGGTTATAAGAAAGCGATGGGAATCTAGATGATCTGGGTAAACCCTTACTTCAAGCCGTGAAAATATTGTAACCATTTTATTCGTAGCTCAATGAGAATTATATACCAAGAAGCTTCAAACTTGATTAATTAATGAATAGGAGTTCAAAGATTCATTGTTTTTAGAAAACCTTTTCTAACTCTTTCAAAAACAGATTTCTACTAAAATTTGAAATAATTTGAAATACTTAACTGAAATGTATGTGCGCTCGCCTAACTATGCGGACCTTCTATACTGTAAGAGCTCATAATTAACAGGAATGTCAATAAGATTTTTTTTGGATTCATATATTCAAAGCTTTTTGTACAACTTACAAGTAAATAAAATGCTGGAAAAAAAAGCATTAAAAGATAAGACAGAGATAAAATTTAATGTCTCTGGCGTGTTTAGTGCTTGATTTATCGCGCTTTTAGTAGTTTAGTTTAGTAGGACGGACAGACAGTGACCCGAATTTCAACTCGTCTCTTCATCCTGATCATTTATATATATATAACGCTATATCTAACTCGATTAGTTTTAGGTGATACAAACAACCGTTAGGTGAACAAAAGGTGGCCAGAGTATAAAAAGAGCAAAGTATGGTAAGCATCCATAAATACCAAAAGGGATGTATTTGGCGAATTTCACCATTTGTACAAAGATTTAAGACGTTATTTTTTTTTAAATTTAATATTGTATAAAATGTATAATATATGTGCCGTTTCAATGCGAATCGGTGCTGAAAAACGCTTCAAAACTGTTTTCTCGTATTGATCAGCTCTATGCTCGGCTTCGGTCAGCTTCCACCTAAGCGATTTTGTATGAAAATGTACGCACACAGTTTTGAAGTTTAATTCTCGCATTCGTCAGCTCTGCACTGGGCTCGGTATTTAATTTATTCTGATGAATAAAGAAATTACAGTCAAAAGTTTTCCCTTGAAAATATTAATAGCGGGTATTCTAAATATTTTTCTACATTCATGACAATTGATCGTAAGCAAAATATGAGACAACCATACAAGCGAACTATGCAACACGCGATTCTGCTCCGAAAAACGCTTCAAAACTGGTTTTCTCGCATTAATCAGCTTTACGGTCGGAGCCTGTGCAATTTTGTATGAAAATGTATATGCACAGTTTTAAAGCTATTTTATCGTATTCGTCAGCCTTGCACTGGGCTCGGCTTTCAGCGTCCACTCTGGAGGCACCTTATGGTAGAATAATTCCCTTGCTGTAATCGCTGTTCTTCAGCAAAGTAAACATTGACGTCCATTGATCATACCGTTTTTACTTGCCCCCTATAGTTAGAATACATTGACTTCTGAAGTTCAATACAGTTTTGCCGTGGTTACAATTGAATATATTATATCATGATAAAAAGTTAACAAAATAATACACAGCTTCAGTAAAACAAATTGAAGTAGCATCAAAATGTTGTATGTTGCATAAAAATATAGAAAAGTTGTAACGATTTTTCGTTGAACTTCTCTTCCTTTAAAAAAATAAGGAAAAAAGATTTCTTTACAGCCTAGTAGTATAAATATCTAAAAAAAAGTTTAATATGATAGGTGAACCTGATCAAAATATGTGCCCTTTTGTTCCAATCAAGCCTAAACATGCAGTTTCAAATATAACAATAATAAAAGAAAACAAGTAAGGAAGGGCTAAGTTCGGATGTAACCGAACATTTTATACTCTCGCAAAGTCAAATGGTATACTCGTTTGAGATTTCTTTGTGGATTGACTGATATTTTCGGTAGAAGGTCAACTATAGGCACTGGGGTCCACATATTTAGTACTTAGGGGCTTTTGGTTCGATTTAGACAATTTTTGGCCGCAAGGTGGCATACTTTAAACGTATTATTCACGCAAAGTTTTACCCCGATATAATCATTGTTGCTTGATATGCATAGTGGGAAGTGAAAGAATCAGATGGAATTGAAAATGGTATTCTGTGGGAAATAGGCGTGGTTGTAGTCCGATTTCGCCCATTTTCGCACTATGATATAGAAACACGAAAAGAACGTTATGCACCGAATTTGGTTGAAATCGGTTGAGCAGATCTCAAGATATGAGTTTTCACCTAAAAGTGGGCTGTGCCACGCCCACTGACTAATTTTGAACGCGGTTCCTATAAAGTCATCACATACCATCTCAGAGATAAAATTTAATGTCTCTGGCGTGTTTAGTGCTTGATTTATCGCGCTTTTAGTAGTTTTTAACAGTACCGTTATATGGGGAGTGGGCGGAGTTGCCACCCGATTTCAACTATTTTCACACCGTCAATAGAAGTGCTAAAAACATTTGCGTTTAGTGAATTTTGTTATTATAGCATTAGCGGTTTAGGAGATATGCATATTAAACCTATTAGAGGCGGGACCACGCCCACTTTTTAAAAAAAGATTTTAACTGCAGATGCCCCTCCCTAATGTGATCCTGTGTACCAAATAACAGTCTTGTATCTTATTGCGGAGTTTAGTTATGGCAAGTTATTTGTTTTTGATTAATGGCGTTTTGTGGGCGTGGCAGTGGTCCGATTACGCCCATCTGCAATACCAACCGTCTCACGGTACCAAGAAACATGTCTACCAAGTTTCATAAAGATATCTCAATTTTTACTCAAGTTAGAGCTTGCACGGACGGACGGACGGACAGACAGTCACCCGGATTTCAACTCGTCTCTTCATCCTGATCATTTATATTATATATATATAACCCTATATCTAACTCGATTAGTTTTAGGTGATACAAACAACCGTTAGGTGAACAAAACTATTATACTCTGTAGCAACAGGTTGCGAGAGTATAAAAATACTCTGCAATAATCTGTACTTTTCGATTAATTGAAACGTTCCAAAATCACATTGTTTTACAGCCTTTGAAATACATTTACTAAATATTCTAAAAAAAATATTCTTCACGGGTATGCAGGCTGTCTTACAAACCATGTATTTGTATGCCAGTTAAATTGAAGCCGTTTGAAGAAGGTTAAAGCAGATTCTTGTAGATTAGACTTTTTTAGAATAATCTTCATAGCACTAGAACTTTCAATTGAGTATAGTCATGGACTTAAAAGGGGTTATTATCATTCTTGGACAACTAAAGAAGTCCTTGCAGGGCCGCCGAGAGAAAAACTGGACCCAGGGGTAAAAAGATGGGTGCCTCCCACCTATAGGAATGCCCCTAATACCTTATAAATCTTTCCTTATCTTACCACTAAGTTGTATGGAATAAGACGGGTTTCAAAATTTGCATCGTCAACGTGTCTGAGGTGAATAGCTTCATTGGACAACTTATCAGATTCATCAACGGAATATTTTTTTAAAAAAGTTTTTGCAGCTGCGTTGAGTTCATCTTCTTTTGATAGCCATAGAAATGAGAACGATTCGTTTATGACACTCACTGCGGCGAATATTTTCTTCATTCCACAGATGACGCTGTCAAGTATGACGTAGAAAGTGTTTCTTTTGAATTCAATTTCTTCTTTACTACAATTTTCATCCACTTCTTCATATAGGTTGTTTCCATGTATTTTTTTCTTGCTGATGGTGTAACTTCATCTCAACATGTTTTAAACTGTCTACAGTAATTTTGCATTCATTATAAATTACTTTCCACTGGTCGCGCAGAAATTGCAAATCCACAAGAAGCCTCTCTAGAAGAACCAAATTTATTTCATTGATTGACTGAATTAAAACATATGCAAGCTACCAAAACGAACTCAAATTTGCTCATATATTTTAAAATTCCATCAACATGCCGACAAGTTTTGCTGTAAGGTTGAGTTTTTTTTAACTTCTTTCAAAGCGTTTACCAGTCCGGGGAGATATTTTGCCAATGGCGATTCTGGCAGACCACCTTGTATTAGAAATACGGTGAAATGAGTTGGGTGTTTTGAATTTTAAAATTTCCTAACGTTGTGTGTGCTTCTGAAAATATTAAAACATTTTTGAATGACACCAAGAGTCGAGGCAGAGTCGACTCCAGCCAAATTCAGCTTGTGAGCACCACATATATACGTTGGACGGAATTTTGCGCTTCATATCTACCGCTAATATTACTATCATTATCGTAGCCCTGTCCACGGCAATCTTCCAAAGGAGTGTTCATATTTTTTGTTTCAATAGCTTTGTCGGATTTTTCGTGACAATCTACAAATCCAGAATATGTTCCTCTATGTAGTAGACTTTTTTCTCATCATCGAGACGGATATAACAAAATAAATCTAGTTTGCTACGAACCCTTTCGAGAACTCCGGGCCCGAGGGGAATCATTCCCGATTCACCCCCCTCCTATCGGGCTTGGTCCTATGTTATGCTAGTAAACTCTTGAAATTAGATATCATAAATCAACAACCCGCCTTAAACTCATTACAAATCTGTTTAGACGTTGTTTTTGATTCCAGCTAGTTCACCTGGATGGCTAAGTGTTAGGTCGAAAGTTTTTCCTTATTCCTTAAAAATCTTTTAAGGTACATACAGTAGTCTAAGCATCTGATGTAACTCCGATGTAGCTCACAAACTTTTCCCAAACCGGAACTCGGTATCAAACCCTTCGTATATGTGCGAGAATTCTCTATTTATTTTGTACTACTCCCAGTTATGTACTTATCAAATCAAGTTGCGTAAGGGAAACACAATACGAATCTTGATATATGTATTTACTTTGCACATGTGCTATTATTTTGAATCTTAAAATCCAAAAATTTACACAAAACGTCAAGGTTATGCAATATAACATTATCGAATATAATATGACTTAATACCTACATACATATGCCATATTTACTCGTACATAAGTATAATGATTTTCGCTTTCATTACTTTTCTACCACTTGTTATCGTACTTGTCCTGAATTTTTATTATTTGTGTACTCACATGTGTTTGTATGGATGGTATTTATGTTAAGATATGAGAAAAACCCGCACTAACTGTCCGTTTATTTAAAGAAAATATTTTTTACACATATACATGCACATAAATGAAGGAATATATACTTGTATTTATGTATATTTTCTTTTTCATGGGAATAAAAATCGTTTTCTTTTTTTCTTTCCTTTTAAAATTTGGCTTGTTAGTTTTTGATTTCGAGTCGATGATTCACTGACCCTCGTTTCATAGCACAAACAGTCACCGATGCAAAACCGTGGACCGAATCAGCTGATACGACCTATCTTATGAGAGCGCAATGTAAATGAACAGTCATCACCGCTTCTACCGTCCGCTTCAACAGACCGTACGGTAGGATATCCGCGAAAATTGGATTTTTCCCGCGAATACGGGTGAGCTGAGAGTGAGAGAGCAATCTCTTGCAACGCAGGGTTGCCAGTCTCGATATTTTGTAGTAATTAAAAAATAAACTTGAATGTATTTGAAATATTCTTAAAATAATTCAAAATCAGAGTCGAAGACATTTATTTATACATAGGTAGACTATTTTTAATAGTCAGATTTAATTTTTGATTTGACTTTTACATAATGAAAAATTATAACTAAAAAACTAAATGTGTGAAAAATCGTGTATACAAATAGAACAATGGCAATATTCGTGAAATGAAAACAAAAGAGAACAACTGATTTTTGGGTTGCAACTACGGGCATAACTTTTGACAAATTTGGTTTGATACGGGCGGTAAGTACGGAAGGGAGGAATGTCGGTGACTGTTTGTGCTATCAGGTGGTTTTCTCATCGATATCTTCCTACCTCACATTTCTTTTATTGACAGTTTTTGCGGCTGGACTAACGGATTAAATAAGTATGTATGTATGTGATATTTTTTAGTGTTGTCATAGGCATATGTGTATTAGGGAGGGTCAAACAAATTTTTTTTCGCTTGGTACTCTGAAAAATAGGTTCTTAGACACCTCTAAGAAAGTCTCTCTAAGTATGAGCTCTTATTTGTAACGGGAAAGTCCACCGCCTTACATTACAATTTTTTTTCTTATTATCAGAAAAATTCAAATCTCACTTCCAGCGACTTGGAAAAATATCTCGTTTTATAGATTTTGTAGGAAATTGAATGCTCTAACCGTTTAAGCCTAACCGTTTAAAAGATTGAAAGAAGATATTTTGATTATTTTAAGGCAATTTTTTTTCAATTATATTACTCAGTGAAAACAAATAATTTTTAATTGCAAAACTCATAGTTTTGTAGGAAATTTACTGCTCTACAAAAATGATCTCTTTGGTTTTGTTTCTCTAGTTTTTCTTTTCTTTGATAGGCATTGATATTATATTTGATGATGAATATCTCGAAAATGGAATTATTTATAATATTTAGATTTGCTGAACTTATAAAAAACTCAATAAGAGCCGTAAATTTCATACAAACCTATAAGTTGTGCTATTTAAAATATTTTTTTTTCATTGAATTATAAAATTCATGAGAAAAAAAATGTGCCTTAAAATAATCAAACTTCAATCTAATGTCTATGTATCCACGTATGTATGTAAATACTGAATGATGAACTATAACATTAGGTAAAGTAAAAAGTTCGTTCGGTTTTTTATTGATTTTTCAAAAGATGATAACTTTGTGTACATTTGTCCGATTTAAGTCAAATATGAGCCGTTTTGTTCGTAAACTTGTTGCCAACGAGATGCCAACTTCGTTATACCCTTCTCGTAGAAGACTGCGTCCCTATTGGCAAAAAACTCTGAGATCCAATTTTCACAGGCCTTTCTTGGGGCCAACTTCTCACCATTAAGCGCGTTCGCCATGGACAGGAAAAGATGGTAATTACTTGGTGCCAGGTCCGGACTATAAGGTGGGTGCATTAGAACCTCCCATCCGAGCTCCAGGAGCTTCTGGCGAGTCACCAAAGACGTGTGTGGTCTGGCGTTGTCCTGATGGAACACAATTCGGCCTCTGCTGATCAAAGATGGCCTCCTCTGGATGAGTGCTGCCTTCAAGCGGTCCAGTTGTTGGCAGTAGAGGGCCGAGTTGAGCGTTTGGCCATAGGGGAGCAGCTCGCAGTAGATGATTCCTTGTCAATCCCACCAAACACACAGAAAAACCTTCCTGGCCGTCAATCCGGTCTTGGCCACCGTCTAGGCCGCTTCCCCGAGCTTTGACCACGGCCGTTTGCGCTCGATGTTGTCACAAGTGACCCATTTTTCATCGCCAGTCACAATCCGCTTCAGAAACGGGTCGATTTTATTGCGATTCTGCATCGATTTGCAGATGGAAATTCGGTCCATCATATTTTTTGCGTTAGTTCGAGTGGCACCCAAACATCGCGCACCTTTTTGAATCCAAGGTTATGCGAATGGTTCCAAACGGTTTTCTGGCTTCTTTAGTTCCTCAGCAATTAAATAAGTGCCCACGTGACGGTCTGTTCCCACTATTTCCATGATATTATGGCAATTTTCGACGACAGGCCTCCCGACGCGTGGTGCATCTTCGACATCGAAATTACCGGAACGGAACCTAGCAAATCACTTTTGTGCTGCACGTTCGTTTACAGTATCGGACCCATAAACTAAATTAATTTTTTCAACCGCTTTGGCTGATTTTTCGCATTGAATGAAGAAAAATTGTAAAATTTAGCGAATTTTCTTTTTGCTGGTGTACATCTTTGACGAGCGCTCACAACGAACTGAGTAAATCAATCGAAAAACTGTCAAATACAAACTTTTAGTGCGAAAAAACACGTTTTCAGCGCCGTATAGTATGACATGATGCGACACGTAACACTAGTACTATGGACAATAACGCCATCTCTTAGATAAAAACCGAACGAACTTTTTGCTTGACCTAATATATGTGTAAATGTATTGAAATCCTCATTCACATTTGTTACAAGAACGTGATTTTATCCGGTCAGTTTGTATGTCACCTATATGCTATGGTGATCCGATCTCAACAATTTCTTCGGAGAAGTTCGTGAATACAAGTACATCTCGTCAAATGACAAAGTTTTTCAAACAAACCTTTGATTTTGATCTTACAGTTTGTAGTTCAGCCTACAATTGCCTCATATCCGAAATTACTTGAAGATATCTCGTCAAATGAAAAAGTTTTCCATACAAGCACTTGATACAGAAAGTTCAGTTTGTATGGCAGCTATATGCTGTAATGCTTCTTGAGAAGAAAAGGACGAGTCCAAATTTTAGATAGGTATTTCAAAAACTGAGGGACTAATTTGCGTATATATAGACAGACCGACGAACGGACAGACGGGTGTTACAAACATCGGGGCAAACTTTTTTTATTTTTTTTTAAAACGATAACAATGTTTGATAGCACTGCAACTAGTTTATAAACTAACGAGAAGTTTGATTTTAAGTGCTTACAAAGATAACAAAGAAATTGGTAATTCCATGAATTTATTGGTATTGTAACTTCAAACTAAATTAAGTGGCTTTTTCGACAGAAGCGACCAGAGAAACATCTGTCGACGAGGATATTTCTCGCTTCCTCATTTACATGTCTTTTGTAGTGCGCGTCTGCCTGAAATCTTATTTTTTCAGCGACTGTATTTACATTAAAGACGCGATAGATATTAGCATTTCTTACGTACTAGCGAGCCTTAACAATACTCCTTGCACCTTATTTTGGAAATTTTATAATATTTATGCTTCTATTATTGGCGCAACCCCACAGTTGCCCATCATATGACTATATCGGCTTGATAATTTGTTTGTACAAAAGTAATTTGTTATGTATGGACATGGCATCGAGCGTAATGGCAAGATATTTGGCTGTATCGGCATATGGTATGCAGACATTAAAAATACTTATAAGGTGATAAGTAATTCTTTTTTTCGCGATTCACATGGCATCGAGCGTAATGGCAAGATATTTGGCTGTATCGGCATATGGTATGCAGACATTAAAAATATTTATAAGGTGATAAGTAATTCTTTTTTTCGCGATTCACATGAATTCACATGAACTGATTTGCCATCGTTTAGTTTTATTCCTCATTCCTTAGTCCATTTGACTACGGAGTTGATTGCATGTTGCAGATGTCTCGCAGCTTTTTCTGCTATGTTTTCGACGCATAGTATTACCGTGCTATCAGAAAAAGTGGCAGTCATACTGTTTGGTGCTACTGGTAAATCTTTAGTACACATAATATACAAAAAACTTCCCTGTGGCACGGCTGTTTCAATCTCCCTTAGTTTGGAAAACTTATTCCCTTGTTTTACACGGAAAAATCTCGAGGTCATATACGATTCTAGAAGAGTACAATACTCAACCGGAAACATAATTTTAATTTATGCATAAGTCTTTCGTGCCACACCTTATCGTTCGCCTGCGCAACGCCAAGGAATACCGCTGAGCACACTTTTCCCTCTTCCAAAGTTTTTTCTTTTTGGATATGATTCTATGAATTTGTTCTATTGTATAGTGCTTGTTTTTGAAGCCGAACTGATGCGATGGGCTTAACTGCTTTTCAGCTATAGTAGATTTTAATTTGAAGGATTAATTTTTCAAAAAGTTTGTAGCGCAACGGTGCATGTTGAACGTTTAAGATTTTTTTATTTTTCCAGAGCGAGTAATCAACTTTCTTGTCAGCCAATAGTGGAGATAAGGATTTGTGTATTGATTCATTCTTAATATAAGTAATTTCTCGTTTTAATTCAGCTGTTGCTCTATTAAGATCAGTTTTGTCAAGCGGCGAGCGTGTTTGTTGTCATTTCTGTCGTAGTTTTTATTTCTTTAGGGTAAATTGAACCCTTAACTTTCCGCTTCATCTCCGGAGAATTATCCCCAGAAGCTTGACAAATTTCTTTTGTAAACCTGTCAGCTCCTACCCCTAATTGTTCGATTGTTGTGATTTGTGGACAGTCTGTTGTACCCTGAAGTACTTGCTTGAACGAAGTCCAGTCAGTTCCTGTTGTACAGTTTCAAATTTTAGTGTTAAATATATTGGGGAATGCACAGAGCTTAGATCTATCCCTCCTTCTATTTCGATGCGATGAAATTTCGGGATACTTTTCTAGTAATAAAGAAGTCTATTACATCATTACATTTTGTTAACCAGGAAGTTAGTGTTCCGGTCGATACAAATTCATATCCTGTATCCTGAGCCGCCTGGATAAATCTCGTTCTTTTGATGTCGTTGGGCGCAACCTCCAGTAGACATGCTTCGCACTAAAGCCGCCACCCATAATAAATTTGTGTAAAAGTTCTTTATATTCATCAAGGAGAATTTTGTACGTCTTCGAGCAATATATTGC